AGTGGAAGGTGTGCCTGCCCATGGCAGGGGGTGGGGCTGGATGATCTTTAAGGTCTATGATTGCACACCTCACGAGTAAAAAAAATTTCTAGCATTCACCCCCAATATGTTTACTTATTTATAAACTATATACTTGTACTGCTGTGCTAGTCTATTATGTACATTATAAAACAAACGCAAAAATAGAAATTAAAAGAGAGCAGGGTAAAGATTAAATAAATGCTATTTTTATTTTAAATGTTATTTATTAATGGTATAGAACATATTTTCTTCCCGCACCCCAGTGGATTGTCTTGCACGCCCCATTTTGAGACCCTTGTGCTAGGGCATGCCCAGGGGAGTCCCAGCATGTCATTTCAGCAGCAAGTGCATACACATGTGATTTTCTCTTTCTCTTTGCTTTGAATTTACCACTATTTTGAATCACTTTTTGCAACTTAGTGCAGACATATTTATTTTAACTTTGAGCGGGTCCTCTCCTTTTTGCATGTATAGATTCACAAACCCGAAGTGTAGGGACACCTATAGTGTACAGTGCTCCAGTACATTATTCCAGCTTACTAAAAGGCAGCTCTTTTATGGAGCTGCAGCCTGAGAGAACAGATTTAACAGCTTCTTGGTAGTGACGATACAGGAAGAGTCCTTTGTCGCACGGTGATGGAAGGCACAGTTCTTGGGCCGCTGAAGTCCTGCTGGAATTCATTTTCTGTACTGTGAAAGGCCACAACTTATGCAAAAAGAAATTCAGCCAGTTTTAGCCTGAGGGCATGTTCATCGTGGGTATCTTTAAAGAAAATGTCTTAAAATTTGCATAAAACACATACTACATCTTCTTTCTTGTGATAACATCAGAAGCATCCGTACAGAGAATGTTGTTATCACAGCAACTTTGTACTGCAGCCGTAAAGTGATTAAATTACTGGGAGGTGGAGGAACAAGTGCAGTTTCTGTCTTTGGGAAGTGTCTACATACAGGCACAATTTTAATGTTAAGAAGCTTAGGATAGCAAAGTGAGGAAGAAAAACAGCCATCTGGGGGAGCAGATGTTTATAGGTTGCTGTAAAAGCTGCTTTGAAGGAATTATTTTGATGACATCAAGCAATTACAGGGTTATTTTCTATTAAAATTCTAACCATGCTGAACTTCTCTTCCCCTCTGAGAATTCAATTAAATTCAGATTACTTTATAATTATGAAAAAGAATACCTAATTCTTTATTCCTTCAGCGCTGAGAGAACTTTGAACCCATTGCATTTAGGTAATACAGTTATTTCTAATGGTGTAAGATTTCACATCTTCATAACGGCATGTTTCCCTCAGAACATTTGAGAAGTATGTTTTTCATGCATACTGATTAGTACTGTAGTCTTTAATCACCACTGACTCCTGCCCAGGAGTTGGAACATAGATCCCAGTGTTAAAATGTAAGAAAACTGGCAGTATTGGCCTGCTTGAAGGCAGGGGGCACCCTTTGGAATGTGCTATGCCTGAGGACATGGACATTGCTGTGCTGCTGTCTGCTTTTGTTGTTGGGACAAGCGCTGAATGAGTGGTCAGAAGGTTCCAGTTTCGTGCAAGTAAGTAAAAGAGCCATCCCGTTTCACTGCCTGCACTGGCATCAGCTACCTCGTTCCTGTGCTTCCTCACCCTTCTCTTCTGAAGACCTGAGCTGAGGATGGTTCCTCATTCCAGGGACAGTTTCTCCGTTAGAGGATACAAGCCCAACTCAGAGAATAACGTAGCATTTGTTTAGAAGATGTGGTGTGGTCCTGGGATCGGTGAGAAGAGTGCTAAGTATGGGAGGTTTTGTCTTATGGAGACTTGATGCTCGTGGATGAAGACTTGGCAGATTCTGGGTGTTTCTTCTCAGTTAAGAACAGTTATGAGGTTAGAAATGCCTTCTGGATACCAAGTAAAATGAGAATTTAGTTTTCATGGCACTGCTTTCCCTTTCATTGTTCGTGTGTAGTAGTTAGCACCTTTCACCACTGCCTCCATGGCATTAGGTGCTTTACAAATAGAGGATGAAGAGGGATGCCCTTGGCCCCAGAAGCTTACAGCTGAAATGAGAGGCAGCAAACAGTGAATGCTGACAGGAAGAAAATGTGGTGAGACCTTCACTTCTGCATGAACTTACAGGTCAAGCATTGTGCTCTTTGGCTGAAGTCTTACTCCTGCAGCACCGAGGGAGAGGGAGGTGTAGCAGTCCCCCTCTGCAGTCACAGCTCTGATTTTGCACCGCTCCGCTGGAAGTTTGACTGGCTGGATGGCTCTCACTGTGTCTCCGAGAACAGGGTCAGGCTGGCTTTCGGCACTGTCACTTTTCCTGTCTGTCAGCAGCTTGTTCAGCCGGTTCTGAACTGGAGGAGGGCCGTTGGGGAAAATGCTCTGTGCAGTTTACAAGTCCTAAGTCATTTTTATTTGGCTGGCTTAGCATGGAGTTTTATTGGTAAAGCTTTGGAACATCTTGTAAGCCAACACATAATGATTACACAGTGTTAGTTGCCTCAGCCATGTATTAATGATACCAGGAGCTGTTCTGGGCCTGTTAGCAGGAGGTGACAAAGGAACAGTGTCAAGTAAAGAAGCCATTATTCTAGAGCATAATCTTACTAGTTTTAGGGCAGAAGTGAGTTAGACCACCAGTCACGTCCTGTGTTGCTAAACTCTTCCCCTGTTTACCTCATGGCCGGTGGATATAGCAATTGACCTCAGGGAGACTTCAAATTTGCATTGTTTCTGTAGCCTCTGTGCAGGTGTGAACCCATGACCTCAGACAGAAAATAACATTCCTATTAATTCTGTAGCCGAAACTCACTTCACAGAATATAGATGTGGGTTTAAATGGAGACAGCAGATATATTGGACTTAGGAATCATTTAATTTCATTTATTTGTCATGCAATAAGAATCATTTAGTAAAGTGAAGACTTTGCAAAGACAGAACCTTAGCAGAGCCACAGAACATGAAAAAACAAACCAGCAAGCACTACTATTAGGGATGGCAAACTTAATTTTGCTTTTAAGTAAAAAAAAAAAAAAAAATCTTAGTTGATGGAATTCATTCAGATTTTGTCTCATTGCTGTAGTTATGAAAATTAAATCACTATAGAATCATAGAACGGTTTGGGTTGGAAAGGACCTTAAAGATCATCCAGCCCCACCCCCTGCCATGGGCAGGGACACCTTCCACTAGACCAGGTTGCTCCAAGACTCATCCA